TATTTGGTATATATTCTTTCAGATTTTTTTCTATGAAGTCAGTATTATTCATTTAACTGCACAAAAATATATGAACATAGATGTTTACTGTTGTATTATATAAAATGAAAAGAATATATCATAGAGGATTGGCTAGAGTAGTTATTATATCTCCATACAAAACAGCCCCTAAAGAAATTAGCATTATCTGTATGGACAAAGATGAAAAGATGTACACAATCTATCATGATATGGAAAAAAAAGTCTTTTAAAAATTGATCTATTGCTATGACAATTAAGAAATTTTCCTATTAATATTTTAAACCATCAGTGCATTCCTGAGATACATACCTACTTGATGGTGTTAAGCAAGCAGTTCTTTTGGAATACAGACGAATTTAAGTTGTTAGTTTTTAGACTGGATTTTCACTGATAATTCACCAGTTTGGAGTATGCTGTCTTTGCCTGACTTAAACTAACTTCATGAAATAAAATGAGTAACTTCATCTCATTTTCCTGTATTCTGTATGAATTCTAGAACATCTTACCTAGGACTAAAATCATCTATGTCTTGAAAGTCTAAAAGAATTAACTGATAAAAGATAAAACCAGCTGGTCCTGGAGCCTTTTTCGTACAAAGTTTAACATGTACATAAATTAAAATATAAATAAGTAATTTGTTCAAATCATCTACATCTTATTTATTTTCAATTTTTTTGACTGACAGAAGTATATTAAAGTATTTGACCACAATCATGTTTGGCAATTTCTCTTTTTAAAATACTGTTTGTTTTATGGAATGTTGTGCTTAAGCAGCAGCATGACCGAGGCTCTGGAATGTGTGCAATCAGCTAAAGGTAGAGTCATTCTGGTATATTGGATTTATGAAAGGCCAGGACGTAACACGGGAGTGGCCACGTAATGAGGTCATCCCTTTTTTTTGGCCAAAATAGTAGAGGAGTGACAGCAACTCTCCTTATACCTCTTCATGTTTAAGACTCTGGATGTTTCAAAGAAGCATGTTAAATATATTAAGATTCCTTTTCTTATTTAGATAATTGGAATTATCACAGCTATATTTATTTTAATTTGGATCTAACCTCAGTCAGTTAGGCATCTGTCAAAAGCAGACATCCTTTGCTCAGTTACTTCCTTTTGGTCTTGATTGCATTTCCATTATATTTATTTAAATGTATAACCAGATTTTTTCTTCATAATCGTATATTAAAAACACTCTTCATACATTCCAGCTTCTATTCTATATTTGAAAAAACTAGGATTAATTTACATTGTAGTATTAATTGGATTCCTAATTTGTACTTCTAAGATGAATTTAATTAACTATTTGCCACTTCATTCTTTGACCAAGTTAACTTAAGTGATTTTTCCCAATCTCTCTTCAACTGAAACATAAGGATGAAGAGTTGTTACTTCAACTGAAAAATAAAGATAATGAGTTGGCTGCATCAGAATTGGGATATATGAAGAATTAAATGTTAATATTTTTGTCAGAGGGACCTTTTATAACCTACCAATGTAAGTCTATGGAAAGATGAAGTATAATAAAATGAAGACTGTATTAGGGGTGTGAAGACGTAATTTTTTTCACCGTTTTACCTTGCCAATATGTTGACTGAAAGTGCTTTCATACATCATGGACGTTGTGTCTGGTCTTACCTGAGCCATTTTTCAGATACCCATTTGCGTCTACAGTTGTATACATGATATAAGGTCCAGGCTGATTCACTCCAAAGGGCTACAATAAAAAAAGGAATAGTTGAGGCTTAGAAAGTAAGTGAATTATTTAAAGTTTCAGGCAAACCTGTTACAAATAAAGTAAAAAATTCTTTGATACAATTCTTACACAGATGACAGTGGCTTAGAGTACATAATCATAAATAGATGACACTTCAAAAGAAAACCTAGTTAGAAAATTCTTAATGCTTTAAATGATTTGATAGTTGCATTTATATGTTAATAGTTCATTAGTTTAACTGGGTATTTCTAAGATCTAATATTGTCTCTTCCTTATAAAGATGAATATTTTAGGCAAGTTTTGTTTACTACTTTTGGCTCCACCTAGAATAGAACTATAACAGTTTTATTAATGGCATTTCTGTTGAAGATAGCATTGTTTTTTCCCTTCAGGAATGCACTGGACATAGTTTATATTTTTCCACTAAAATATCAAAATAAATAAAATCTATCCATAAGAATTACAATAGAATGGAAAATAGTGATCATTAGTTCTACCACATTTAATCTCCTGTACATTTATAGACTACATTATTTTCCAGTTAAGAAAAACCTGATAGGCCGGGCGCGGTGGCTCACGCCTGTAATCCTAGCACTCTGGGAGGCCGAGGTGGGTGGATCGCTCAAGGTCAGGAGTTTGAGACCAGCCTGAGCAAGAGTGAGACCCCCGCCTCTACTAAAAAAAATAGAAAGAAATTAGCTGGACAACTGAAAAAAAAAAATATATATATAAAAAAAAAATTAGCCGGGCATGGTGGTGCATGCCTGTAGTCCCAGCTATTCGGGAGGCTGAGGCAGTAGGATCACCTGAGCCCAGGAGTTTGAGGTTGCTGTGAGCTAGGCTGACGCCATGGCACTCACTCTAGCCTGGGCAACAAAGCGAGACTCTGTCTCAAAAAAAATAAAAATAAAAATAAAAAAAAACCCGATAGACTGACAGAGCCCAGCTGCAACAGGGAGGTTTATCTCTAGTGTATTGTTCCCTGTCTCTGGACCATTCTCAAACCTTGAATAAAATGATATATTCCTTCTCTTTAGAAATCAAGGCTAATTAAATGGGACCATCCACTGCAATGGACATCCTGAGAAGAAATGACAAAATGTCAAAGAAATATTTTATTTTATTTTTTTATTTTTTTTTTGAGACAGAGTCTCACTGTGTTGCCCTGGCTAGAGTGCCGTGGCTTTATCCTAGCTCACAGCAACCTCAAACTCCTGGGCTCAAGCGATCCTCCTGCCTCAGCCTCCCGAGTAGCTGGGACTACAGGCGTGAGCCACCGCGCCCAGCCCAAAGAAATATTTTAAACTCTTTTGAATACTTTTCACAGAATCGAAATTCTACTGATCTTCCCAGTAAAGTAGGGAAGAGTTAATAATGACATTTAGATAGTCTACTGATGCTCTAAAAATGATTTTTCTCTGGGATGATAAGGAAGAAACAATGTAATTTCATCAATATCACCGTTGCCTGACTGATATTTTAAGAACTTTAGGAGTCCATATGTTTTCAATGGCCATGAGAAAACAGGTTGATATAAGAATGGAAGTACTCATAAGAGTTTACTAATTGAATAAAAGATTCATGAAGAATATCACAAAAATACAAAAAACAAACTTGTTAAGGAAGTATTTTTATGTAGACAGGTGAATATTACACTTTGTACCACATACTGCTTTCATGAGAGAAGTACCAAAATTCCACACCTATATTCCTATTTTGCAGCTGGGAAGGAAAAGCGTTGTTCTTTAGATGGTCTCAGTTTAAAAGCCAGCCACACAGACAGCTGAACAGAAGCTAAGCTACGGAATTATCTTCTTCCTGTAATTATTCCTTTTTTTTCTTTATAGTTTTATCATACATGTTAATATGTTAAAATATATTTTGTCATTCCTGCTATTATTTTTATGTCAATGGAATCAAACTGTTTGTATTTTTCTGTTACTTGCTTTTTGCGATACAGTATCTTGAGACTCATCCATGATCAGGCAGGTAGCTGTAGTTTATTTTCACTGCCGTATTCCATTGTATGATTATATTAATAGTATAAATATTTTTCGTTCTATTATTGATTGACATTTGTTTCCATTTTTTTTGTTATGATAACAAGGTATTCTTATATATGTCACAAGCGCAAAAGTTTACTGGGGCTTTGAACTCGGAGGAAGGATTGCGAAGTCACAGGATATATGCATATGCAACCATACTAAGGAGCACCAATTTTTTTTCCGGAAGTGGTATTACCACTTTTTACTCCTATCAGCAGTACATGAGATATGTTATTGCCTCACTTACTTAGCGATTGTCATTGCTACTGTGGTACACATTTCTTAATATAAATTGTATTATTTATCCTAGGTCTGTTTCTTTGGAAGAGGGTATGCCCTTTCATACTCTAAACTTGTCTCATTCTAGGGAGTCATGGAGACCACACTTATCACTGTGTTATAACTTCAAATTTACTTTGTCACCCACAGTCTAGTTTATATCCTGGAAGACAGGTATCTTTTTGGCTTATAAGAATTGTTTTCAGTGAATACACCCAATTATATTCTGGAATATTTGTTCTAATTCACACTTAAAATATTTCATACTACTATCAATAGTGTCTTATTTTACAAATTTATTTAGGCATTTGTTCTTTCTCCGACCTATATTCAATTTAAAAAATCAGGTTGGCATGTCTCTAATGTGAGTCCTACAGCTCACGTTCACCTGTCACCATCGGCCAGTCATTCTGATATTCGCAGACCAGATCTAGAAATCCAGATTTGATTCCTCCACAGACTGGTTCTCCAAGTGTGTTACAAGGACTCCTGGGGGTCCCAAATTACCTTCGTAAGGTCACATTCAGTAGAAACTATTTTCATAATAATACTAAGATGTCATTTATCTATTTATCTTTTACACTGTGTTAACATTTGTGCTAACAGAGCAAAAGCAATTAATTAACAATGGAACCAAACGATGGCTATCCAGACAGGTATTTAGCCAACATTTTCTTGAAAGTGGACAAATTTGTCACTTTTAGGAAAATGACTGACAGTATTTGTTGCTAATGATAACATTTTGAACTTGCAGGTGAAAGCTGGAATTCTGGAAAAATTTGCATCTGCCACTGTCAACCTGACACCTTTCCAACAGTTAAAAACTGCTCTGATGCAATCAGGGGTAATATTAACAAATGTGACTTGAACATTAGGAAGATCTATATAACTCAGTAAACCAATATTTTCCAAATGACCAATGCGTGGTATTACAGAGTCATGTATAGGTAAAAGATCCATTCAAAGTGCAAGCTAGACTAATGGATTTTAATGTAATAGAGTGGTGTAGAAATCACTTCTGGAATGGTATAGTAAGGACCTCAAAAAATCTGCTCTTCCATAAAAGCAAGGAGAACACGGGTGAAAAATTGTCAAAATTAACTTTTTCAGAACTTTGCAAGAATCCAAGGAGTATTCATTTAAGAAAAATGGCTGAATCGCAGTAAGAATAGTGACATTTGTTGTGTTTTAATTTGCCGTATTTCCATACCACTCCCCCACCTCTGAAGCAGCCTTGAAAACCAACAGCTTTGCAACTAAGTTAGCTATGAAATAAACTGCCTAGCAGTCAGTGGAGGGGGCAGAAATGTTTAGAGCTATCCAAAGCCTCATTCCCAGAGAACTGTCTCTACTTGACCTGTCTGGCAGCTCCCTAAAAAGTTCCATTCTCAGGATTTGTCTTTTCTAACCTGCTGAGAGCTTGCTCTACGTGAACAGCCCTATCACTGGAACATTTCTTGAAAACAACCACTAGCAATTGTTTACAATTGTAGCTGCTTGAGGCAGTGGTATCAGTTGGTGCTAAGGAGAGGATGTCCCAATCTTAAAAGGAAAAATGGAAATGAGATGTCTATAGGGGGCTTTGAAAAGTCCTGACGATATTTCTGGGAATCTAGAAGGCCAGAACACGCGCAGCACTATGCTCATGCTTAGCCAAGACCTGAGAAGGCCCTAATCTCACTTGAGGAAACCTCTGACCACCACAGCTGGCTACTAGGCTGAGGGGAAGCTTCAGTGGTCATATTCAACAAAAAACAAAGACTTCACAGTATTAGTTCAGGAAAGTCACTGAACAAACAGCAAGAAGAACAACAACAAACCCGGGGGAAGGGAGAATTCTGATTTCCAGAATCAACATATAATTTGTCTAGTAAAGTGTCTACTTTTCAACGACAAAAAAACAGGAAAAAACATACTTCCATACAGGAAAGTATGGTTCATACATTCGGGGAAAAAAAGGCAGTCAACAGAAACTGCCCTCAAGGAAGCGTACATGTTGGATTTACTAGGCAGAAAATTGGCCATAATAAAAATGCTCAAAGAACTAAAGGAAATTCTGGGAACAATGTCTCACCAAAGGAGAGTATCAACAAAGAGACAGAAACCACAGAAAAGAATCAAACTGAAATTCTAGAGTACAGTAACTGAAATGAAAAGTTAATTAGACTCAATAGCAGATGTAAACTGGCAGAAGACATAATCGGCAAAATCGAAGATATGTCAATTCGGATTATCTAATCTGAAGAACTGAAAGAAACAGGAATAAAGAGAATGGACAGAGCCTCAGAGACACACGCGGCACCATTAAGAATGTCAACGATCGCAGGAGTCCCAGCAGAGAGCAGGGAAGGGGACGGAAAGAGGATGTGGAGCGGGAATGGCTGGAGCTGCCCAAATTTAATGGAACACAGTAATCTGCACATTCAAAAAGCTCAGTGAACACCAAGCAGGATACACTCAAAGAGACCCACACCAGGATACGCCACAGACAAACACTACTCATCACATCACGGTCAACCTTTTCCAAGCCAAAGAGAGAATCTCGAAAGCAGCGAAACAGCAGCTCATCACACACGCGTCACGACAGGATCAACAGCTGGGCTGTTATTTTCACTTCTCCGTGTTTCAGTTTCCTCATCTTAAATTAGGGATAATAATAATAATACCCATATTGTA